CAAGCATTATGTTACAAATATTGACTCATGTTATTATTTATAGATGATCTATCTTGTTAATTAGATTTACAAACTGCCTCCTGATAATATTTAATTATGTAGCATAAATTGTATTTAATATGACGGTTACTAACATCAACCTACATAATAATTTCTTCAATTGATATAAGCATGATATATGAATAACATAAAAACTTCTACATGGTTTTCTACATTTCAAAATGAAGTTTTTACACAATTATTGTGTCCTACTAGCACATAGCTAGTAGACTGTGACAGTAGAACAGATCATTGATGCTACTGATTTTATGACCAAACTCAATATGTACAGAGAAATCTCTAACCAGCTAAAGATTCAACAAGTACAAAATCTACAAACTCATACTGTAAATACATGTCCTTGAGTTATTATTGCAGAGAAATATAGAAACATTAGACTCTAGTTGTGACAAAATGAGATTCAAATAAAAGTAACATAAAAGATAATCAAAATGTGTCAACAGGTTAAAAAACCAGTGTATCTTATAAAAATTTACTTATTTATAGTTCTTGGTCTGCAAAATGATTTTGGCAATCACTCAAGGTCAAATCACCAATTAAATATAAACTTTGGCCTAAAAATTGTGCGAATTAACTTCTTTTTGTTTTTTTTCTTTTTTACCAGTTCCATCTCCAACAATATTTTTTTGAGAGTTTAAATAACTATAATATGTAAAATGTAGTACACATCATCATCGTCTTCATCATCATCATTGCCAGAACAGAGTTCAGTTATAAACTCAATGTCACATTCCTGATATCAATGTCATGTCTGTGTTCACATTAATATCATTTTGAATGCATGAGTTGATAGAGAGTGGAGATAAGGTTAATATAGGATGATAAATGCCAGAAGAAATAGACAATTGTAATTATTGAGATATCATTTCATTATTCTACCAGTCTGTCAGCATTATTCCCCACAAGCTGTAACGTACGACCTCGGTGGATTGTGCCAATCATATAACTTTACAATAATCTTTTCTCTTGGGATATCTTTATATCTCATCTTATTTTATCAACCATTAACTAAGTTAACTTTCCAGAAACAATTTTATATTAACCAGACCCTCTCTATACTTTCTATCTAGTTTATTAAATTCAATCAGAAGAAGAGAAAGCAACCACTACGACCATTCATCAAAGGAGTAATTCAACTATAAAATTCTTCAATTAAGAACAAAAAATGTTATGGATATAGACTATTTTGTGAATGTTACCTGTATATGTAATAAAAGGTTGTGTTTAAAGAAATCAATAGAAGTTTATATCCATAAAAATATTGTTGTTTGTAATGTGCAGTGAAACTTCTAAATGTCTTAAAATGATAATCATTGGCTACTTTCTGCCCTAATTCACAATTAATTCTGTTTCCATTTGGACCACAATATCTTCAGAGCTTTTTTAATCTTATGTTTTGCAAACTTCATTAGTTCATTTTGTTTAGATATTTTGTTAATACATTTTTAAAGTTGGGATGTGTGTATATTTAGATATATTTAAGTAATTTTGAAATATTTATATCATACTTGTAGTGAAAAGTTTGAAATTAAGCAAATGGTTGTGGATTATTATAATCAGGTGTTATATCTGTTATTAATCACAAAATGACATTCAATGACAAGGTTTACTCTTTTTACTTAAACAATGGAAAAATAGCGATGCAGTCGTAATACGCCCACATTTGTAATGGCAGCTAATTTGTCCGGGAGATTGACAAGAGTTATCAGTAAATGAATGTTTCTGAGAGTGAAATTTTCATGATTTTCAATATGGTTCATCCTTGGGTGATTACAAACACACACACACACCAAAATCCATCAAGAAACCAGCTCTCTATCATGTCCACAAACATGACATTAATGTGTGGGCGTATAAAAAAAACCAAAATTGATTCTAAATATTAACTCCAAAATCCATATTTTGTTGAACACAGGGAGAGGTAGGTAGGTAGATGACAAGTTAACGTTCACACAGGGAGAAAGGAATTTCTGTTTTTATGCTGGCACAAACCACTCCTTTAAAATATGCTGTGAGATATAAGTCATGACATTATATGAGTGAAACAAATCTTAACCTTACATGTTTTTGTTTATAATCAGTCAAGGATATCATCAAAGTAAAGCAATATCAATTTTACAATAGTTGATGAATTATTTCCTCATGAAATCTATTATCAGTCAGATTTTTGTCTAGCTTTAAGAGTTAAAACTAAATATAATGTAGTGTCTTGTCATATTAAAGTTAAATCTCCAACAGAGCTGAACCGCTTTCAATAAGGCCATTTTAACATGATCTTGACCTACAAATGTTATCTTTTTATCAATATTCGATTGCAACACATATTACTATCCTAGTTTTTTATCTGTAATGTAAATAAGAAGGGGGCTGGAAACAACTTTTTTTATGATATTGCACTGTGTTTGTTACAGTTTATTTGTCCAGCTTTCCAGGGAATAATAATAATAATGTAAACTTCTGGTTCTATAACTTTAACTTAATTGATGAATGACAACAAACTTTGAACTTGTAGATATATCTATAGTCATTATTATGACAGAAAATTTATGACAAGAAAATTTGGACCTGAAGTGCTATTTCTACAGCCATTTTGATTATCCTGAAACTTGTGATTTATTACTAAGAGATGTTAGCTCATCATTATGTTGATGATTTTTTAGAAACCATTTTCTCATTTTGATAATTCTGGTTGAATTTTATTTCAAAGTTTAAAAGAAATGCTGTGAGATATGAGTCATGATCTTAACCTTACATGTTTTTGTTTATAATCAGTCAAGGATACAGATAACAAGGACAACAAATATACCATCATCAAAGTAAAGAAATATCAATTTTACAATAGTTGATGAATTATTTCCACATAAAATCCATTATCAGTCAGATTTCATGTAATGAATAACTTTGAACTCTCTGACATTTTGAGGTATTGTCTAATACATTTCAAGTGCTATATTAACATTTTCGAAATAGACAATGTTGTACTGGTAATTTGTCTCAAAATCTTCAAACAAAATTTATTTGATTTGATTGAATTGTGTGCTACCGAAAACGGTAAAGTAGAGCCTTCGACTTAAAACTGAAAAGTGAATGATGATGATATTAGGTTAATAGAAGTAGAGGATGAAAAGGCCCAGACTGTGACTTTGTACCAACTGATCCTATTTTTATGCGACTGATGCAAACCTACTGATGCAGATTAAATAAATGTATCCACTTTGACACACCTGCGATTCCACTCCATGAACCACTGAATAATATATTATGTAAAATCAATTGGTAATATTTCATAATTATGTTCCAGAAGAGTATCTTGATTGACTGTTCTGTTTGGATAAGTTGGTAAATGGTTACTGATGTTGAGGTAATAGGACAGACATAGAGCATTTTATAGCTTCACCATCAAGTATAGAACAGTATTAATAATTAATATGTTATGTCTTTTATTTGTCATCTTTTAACACATCAAAAACACATTACATATCAACCTGTCTTAATTGGTCCCTGATCTCACACCGATCTCACAGTTCTACCTGGATCAATAATTTTCTAGTATAACGATACTTATATAGCATAATAAATCTGGTTCTATCCTTTCCTCGGATGGATATAAAAAGCTGAACCATTGATGAGTCCATAAAAAATATTGCCTGATAAGGTATTAAGTCAAAATCAAGAGAAATAAAAAATAAACAATTATAGGTGATATAAGATATAATGTTTTAATTCTCAATGAATAAAATGCACAGTTAGGTTTAAGCACATGCCTCACTGGCCTTCGATAGTGGTACATGCCATGTTGAAACTGTTCTGTTTATTATGAATATTCAATAGCAATAATTAGATTTAGCATTCTGAGCATGTGAAACTGGTCAAAAAACATTTTTTACTAATTTAGTTGTAATTTTATTGATTACATGGTTGATTCCTGTGTTTTGGAAAAAGTAGAATTCAGGAAACCTTGAAATGAAATTTACTCTTTTTGAAATTGGTTTTTACTGTTTCAGATAGTATAGTCCAAGATGGCAATGTTTTTGTCACTCAAGATCAAACACTTTCAAAATTCAGACTAGAATTTAATTTGTTTTATGATGAAATTCTTTAATTGTGTAATGTTTATTAAAAACCATTAAGTGATTTTACAAGACACAGTTTTTCGATTTTTCTGATATTCAATAGGGTTTATCCTTGGTTGATAACAAACACTCATGCCCAGTTTTGTCAAAATCAATCAAGAATTGTGTCTTCTGTTTACGAGCTAAAAATTGAACGCATTTTCAAGAACAAGGGCAATAACTCATAGTAAATATTTTTCAATTCTTCTGATTTTCAATAGGGTACATCCTTGGGTGATAATGAACACTCATGCCAAGTTTCGTTAAAATCCGTCAAGATCCATCAAGAATTGTCCCTTCTAGAGTGTTTACGAGCTAAAAATTGAACGCGTTTTCAAGAACAAGGGCAATAACTTATATTAAATATTTTTCGATTCTTCTGATTTTCAATAGGGTTCATCCTTGGGTGATTACGAACACTCATACCAAGTTTTGTCAAAATTCGTAAACAATTGTGTCTTGTAGAGTGTTTACAAGCAATTGTGGATGGACGGACAGACAGACGGACGGACGTACCAACGGACATGGGTGACGGCAATATACGCCCCACCATTTCATGTGGGCGTATAAAAATCATTAAAATTCAGATTTCAAATTCCAAACAAATAATAATATGAGCTAGAAACCTTGAAGTCATTGAGTAACAGGTATTTAAGTCATAACTTCTTCTAACTTGTTTTAAGAGTGTCATTTTTGTCATTTTGAAGCGATCTTGACCTAAAAATGTTTAATCTGTTTATCAATATGCAATTTCAACACATATCACCATCCTAGTTTATTATCTGTAATATAAGAAGGGAGGTGGAAAGGTAAGTCTTTTATAACAATAATATAAACTGATGTAGACAGATACCTACCATATTAGGTAAGATTTTATGATATTGCACTGTGTTTGTTACAGTTTATTTGTCCAGCTTTCAGGGAATAATAATAATAATGTAAACTTCTGGTGCTATAACTTTAACTTAATTGATAGATGACAACAAACTTTGAACTGTAGATATATCTATAGTCATTGTTATACAAGAAAATTTGGACCCGAAGTCATATTTCTGCTGCTATTTTGATTTTCCTGAAACTTGTGATTTATTATTAAAAGTTGTTTGCTGTCTTTTTGTTGCAATGGAATAGCTCAGTTGCTATCGAGTTGGATTGTCGCCTGCTAGTCAATTAGGTGCTGTGGATTTGCATCCTCCTCATAGTAAGAAAAACTCTGATGCCTGTGCCAGTGCTTCCATGAGTCGGACCGGTGTTATTATGGTTTTGTGAATTCTACCTATTTATTATAGTTAATATGGCTAGAAAAACTTCCTTGCTCTTAAAAGTTTTTCTAAATTTTTTTGTGTAAAAACTTCTGTACTTGAAGGGAGTGTAAAGAGGTTTTCTAACGTTTTTTTGTGTATTGCTAATAGCTGAATCAGATGTCTGTCGTTCTTTCAATTCCACTAAAATTAAGAGTTTGATGACGTCCCTGATAACAAAGGCCCTTATGTGTGAAGCAAATTTTACAACTAGTGACATCAAACACTTAGTTTTGGTGGAATTACAAGAACAAAAGGCATCTGATTGAAATTTGGAAAAGTTTAAATGATGCTATTAGTGTCCCTAATACACACAAAAAAAGAAAACCTCATTACAATTCCTTTAAAGGGGAACAGTCGGCATTTTTGAGGATTCATTTGAGTCTTGAATGTGCTTTAAGTCTTAAGAAGTACTAAAACACACGAAAATAGCATAATCCCTTCAAATATACCTCAAACTAGAAATTTCACCGTCTATATTTGTGTTTTGTACATATGGCATAGTCTCACAAAACTTCGAGTCAAATTTTTTACTTTCAAATGTGAATAATTATGCATACACATGGATCTGAAGACTCAAATTTTAACGATGAGCTGTGAACAACATTACTGATTATGTAAATTAAAAAAAATTCCTGCTTCTGAAACTAAGGTATGATTTGAAAGTGAAGGTGCTCCTTTAACACAAAATAGGAAATGTGTCCTATTACAAAAGAAAATGTATTCCATTCATGATAAGGTGACAGAAAGATAACCTGCTTTCACTATGTGGCCTTGAACTTCCCTGTTCATTCTGCAAATTACCTATTAGCATCTCAAAGAGTTTTCTAATTGATGTCTAACTGTGTCCTACATTTTTAGCTGGTCATTAATATTTGTCACAATGGCTGCATCTGATGAATAGTTATCATGTCAAAGAAATAAATTTGGTGTGTGACTGATATTTTTAGGCTCTGCAACAAACCAACATGGAAGGTCTTTTAGTCTTGAGAGAGGAGTTTCGCTTAAAGAAGTTTGGATTTGGAGGTGTACATCATGAATGTTTCTATACCTTTGTTGTAAGTAACGTTTATTTTGTGTTTTTACTTTAGTCATAAATACAAACATTTTAATTTCAATGGGGTCAATAATTTGCGAAATGAATCATGAAACCTACCCTGACCACCCCTAAAACATCAATCATGGATAAGTGACATGTTGGTAAATTAAATAGATTCAAACCTAAAAGCAATGTTGTTTATCTAGTACATAACTGTCAATAAAAATTAAATAAAAAAACAGATAAACTGGTGCTTATCATCTTCTGTTAATGTTCCTTCTGCATTTAAAAGGATTGTAAATTGTATATCGGGGACACAGATAGCATCAGTTTGCACTATTCCATTTATTAATCTGACTTTTGTAGTTCTTGCAATTCCAGTAAAACTAAGTGTTTGATGATGTCACTAATTGAAATTCCATTATGAAGTACCTGGTTTATAATTTTGTCAACTAGCTAATAGAAAACTGCCCTGAAGTATGCTTTAAGACAACTACATCAACATATATTTCTGCACAATTTTTGACTATACTATTGACTTCCCTTTCAGTTTCGTACACCACCAATTCTCTTCCTGGCCTACAGATTACTGATGATGTGCTATACTTTATCCATGCTAATCATAACTGCTGCTCGTTCTTCAGGAATAACAGCTGGAGTACCATGGAGTGCCTTCCTTACTAACTGGACATATGTAGCATTGACAATACACATGTTGTTACACTTTATTGTGGCACTAACAACATTCATATACCGAGCTATCAAAGGAACAAGTTTTATATCACCAACAGACAAAGAGGTTCATGAACAGTGTTTTCAAGGAAAAAGTAGACAATCTAATTATGAAAATACAGAAGAATCAGCCAGATCTGGAGATGACTCTATGGTGCCTCCCAAATTTTACATCCTCCATGCAATAGTGTGGTTATCATATAATTATGTTTCTTCTAATGCCTTAATGGTAACCATTATTTTCTGGTCAGTGCTTGCTCCAGGAATGGAAGCTGAAGCCTCATCCATGGAAAATGTCCAATTGCACATCATTAATACTGTGATAGTGTTCTTAGAACAGTGTTTATCACCAATACCAATACGTTTACTTCATATCATTTATCCCATACTGTATGGTTTGATTTATGTCATTTTTTCAGCTGCATATGATAAAACAATTTACTCAATCCTAGATTGGTCCAAACCAGGTACAGCAATGATGTATGTTTCTATAATAGCATTTGTTGCTTATCCTTTGATCCAGTTTTTATTCTTTGGTATATATCACCTTAAAGTATTTATATACAAAAGATATACCTCTCAATGATCATACTACATAAATCTCAGAAAGCACATATGGAGGTTAAAACTTTTTTTCAAGCTATTTTAGTAATTGGTTGCTTATTGTTGTATATATTTAGTAATATATATTGTAATATATTTGTTTTGTTCTGGCTATTTTAGTAATTGGTTGCTTATTGTTGTATATATTTAGTAATATATATTGTAATATATTTTGTTTTGTTCTGGCTATTTTAGTAATTGGTTGCTTATTGTTGTATATATTTAGTAATATATATTGTAATATATTTGTTTTGTTCTGGCTATTTTAGTAATTGGTTGCTTATTGTTGAATATATTTAGTAATATATTTAGTAATATATATTGTACTATATTTTGTTTTGTTCTGGCTATTAAAGAGACTAGAATAGCTTTCTTACCTCTCATCACCAATATCTAGAAGTTTTTATGATACTTTTGACATGATCCTAAAAATACTACTCTGTTTTCCAAATTGATTGAAATGGTATCTTTTTGGTTCTTGGTATAGACTGAGAAACTACCTTCAAATTTTTAACCCAGTTTTCCCATGTCATTAATGTAGGTCAAAGGGGCTGAGATGGAAAAAGCATCTATTCATTCAGATGGTACAATAAACTCTGAATGATTTGATATCGAAATAGAGTAGGATTATGCCGCCATTCCATCAACATATCCTCATTGCACACTGCATAACTTTGTCCATCAGCACAATCAGGTGCATAAAGTAGGAAGTAAAACTCTGTTAATTTCATTTCATTTTGAGAATAACTTAAGTAACTGACATAAGATAAGGTAAACTAATATCCAAATTTGAACATGTATATTAATTAGATTTATTTTGGCCGTCTGAAAAGCCATTAATGTTTCATTATCATTAACATCATAAATTAAAGAATGCTATGCCTCTCTAAGGAATCATTGGAAGATATTCATGGCATGAGATCAATAAAGTTTTGTTTTTGTAACAACAGAAGCCAGGATCATGTAATGCTCCAGCCAGACAAATTAAATTCTATTCTCATTCTTAAACTTTATTTTACTGAAATAAATCTTGTTAAAAATAAATTGATCCCATATCAAACAAACATGTTACATACAGCATGAACTTATGTTGTATTGTTAGAAGTAAAGTTAAATTTTGGGGAAGGGAAGGTTTGATTCGCCCAAATGTACAGGCCTAGAACAGAACAAATACTTTTCTTTTTCTGATCTTATCTTTTATCAGATAAAATAGTAACTTGCCCAATGGTTGAGAGGTTAGATTGTTACATCTTAATAGGCTTTAGTTTGCTATAAACCAGGTTGTTATTTAAGTTCTGTTTTTTGAATATGTGACAATCATCTTTTGTTTATAAAAATGGGGGAATTTCTCTTGCAGGCTCTCATAATGGGAATTGACTATAATTATTTGCTCTATTGCTAGTGGTATTGAACAAGACAACAAAAAGTGCTATGACAGCATCATGTGGTATACTTAAATTAGTGGTATACTAGTTAATACTGCATATACATTTAGGTCGAGCTATGATTTGTTCTAAAGCCACTTTTTAAAAAAGTGCTCTTGAAAAAGCGAATGCTATATATACATAAGCTTCATAAGCTTGAATCAATATGTGTAGTTAGGCAGGCATTGAAATGCTAGGTACAACCTACAGGAATAAAATATCGTCTGAGCAATTACAGGGGTTCTGCTGCACTTATTGTAAATATGATAATTAAATATTAAAATTCTTTTGAGATCTCATCATTACAAATGTTCATACTAAGTTTCTTACAAATCAAATAAACTCCATCTAATATAAAAACTAACAGACAGATAGACAGGGGTTACAGCTATATATCCTCATTCTCATGTTTTTTGTATAATGAAAGGTTAACTTCCAATGCTGTGTATAATGATTATAAGATTAGGATAGAAAGGGTGGTTTCGAAAGGTACAAAGGGTAACTGCAGGATACCTGCAGATGTCAAGTGTTATAGATTTTGGTTGTGTTTTATTTAATTTTACTGCTTCAAGACTATATACCTATATTTAACTTTTCAAATTAAATAGTTGAAATTATTTTACTTGTCTGTATGGATTGTAAATAATGTAAGTTATTACTTATGTCAAAATATATAAAATGATGAAATCAATATTACAATGGCTGGTTATACAGCTGTTAATATTTATATCAAATACTTCAACTCTTATCATAGTATATCACAAAATTCTATATTTATATTTAGCTGATTTCTCTTTATCATATGCAATAAATTCAGTTTTTATCACTATACAAAATCATGGTTTATATCACTTAACATAAGTTTATTTTTTATCTCTACAACAAAACATGGTTTATATCACTCAACATAAGTTTATTTTTTATCTCTACAACAAAACATGGTTTATATCACTCAACATAAGTTTATTTTTTATCTCTACAACAAAGCATGGTTTATATCACTTAACATAAGTTTATTTTTTTATCTCTACAACAAAACATGGTTTATATCACTTAACATAAGTTTAGTTTTTATCTCTACAACAAAACATGGTTTATATCACTTAACATAAGTTTATTTTTTTATCTCTACAACAAAACATGGTTTATATCACTCAACATAAGTTTAGTTTTTATCTCTACAACAAAACATGGTTTATATCACTTAACATAAGTTTAGTTTTTATCTCTACAACAAAACATGGTTTATATCACTTAACATAAGTTTATTTTTTTATCTCTACAACAAAACATGGTTTATATCACTCAACATAAGTTTAGTTTTTATCCCAAGAACAAAACATGGTTTATATCACTCAACATAATTCTATATTTTTATCACTACAACAAAACATGGTTTATATCACTGACATAAGTTAATTTTTTTATCTCTACAACAAAACATGGTTTATATCACTCAACATAAATTTATTTTTTATCTACAAAACATGGTTTATATCACTTAACATAAGTTTATTTTTTATCACTACAACAAAACATGGTTTATATCACTCAACATAAGTTTAGTTTTTATCTCTAGAACAAAACATGGTTTATATCACTCAACATAAATTTAGTTTTTATCAACAAAACATGGTTTATATCACTCAACATAAGTTTAGTTTTTATCCCAAGAACAAAACATGGTTTATATCACTCAACTTAATTATATATTTTTATCACTACAACAAAACATGGTTTATATCACTGACATAAATTTATTTTTTATCAACAAAACATGGTTTATATCACTTAACATAAGTTTATTTTTTATCTCTACAACAAAACATGGTTTATATCACTCAACATAAGTTTAGTTTTTATTTCTAGAACAAAACATGGTTTATATCACTCAACATAAATTTATTTTTTATCAACAAAACATGGTTTATATCACTCAACATAAGTTTAGTTTTCATCCCAAGAACAAAACATGGTTTATATCACTCAACATAATTCTATATTTTTATCACTACAACAAAACATGGTTTATATCACTGACATAAGTTAATTTTTTATCTCTACAACAAAACATGGTTTATATCACTCAACATAATTCTATATTTTTATCACTACAACAAAACATTGTTTATATCACTGACATAAGTTAATTTTTTATCTCTACAACAAAACATGGTTTATATCACTCAATATAATTTTTTATTTTTATCACTACAACAAAACATGGTTTATATCACTCAACATAATTATATATTTTCATCACTACAACAAAACATGGTTTATATCACTCAACATAATTTTATATTTTTATCACTACAACAAAACATGGTTTATATCACTGACATAATTTTATATTTTTATCACTACAACAAAACATGGTTTATATCACTCAACATAATTTTATATTTTTATCTCTACAACTAAACATGGTTTATATCACTTAACATAATTTTATATTTTTATCTCTATGACTAAACATGGTTTATATCACTATCACTTATATCATAGGTCTTTTTTTTTTATCTCTAAAGCAAAAATGGATTTTATCACTTAACATAAGTTTCTTCCAGAAAACATGGTTTATATGACATAAATTTATCATCTATTACTACAACAAAGCATGGTTTATATCACTTAACATAAGTTTATTTTTATCACAATAACAAAACATGGTTAATATCACTCAACATAATTTTATATTTTTATCACTACAACAAAACATGGTTTATATCACTCAACATAATTTTATATTTTTATCTCTACAACTAAACATGGTTTATATCACTTATCATAATTTTATATTTTTATCTCTACGACTAAACATGGTTTATATCACTGACATCAGTCTATTATTTTTATCTCTAAAGCAAAAATGGATTTTATCACTTAACATAATTTTCTTCAAGAAAACATGGTTTATATGACATAAATTTATCATCTATTACTACAACAAAGCATGGTTTATATCATTTAACATAATTTTATTTATTCATCTCTTTAACAAAATATGGTTTATATCACTTAACATAAGTTATTTTGTTATATTTCTACAGCAAAACATGGTTTATATGACATAAATTTATTTTCTATTACTACACTTATACACTTTATATCATTTAAACATAATGTTATTTTTTTAATCTCTTTATCAAACTGTAGTTTATATCACTGAACATAAGTTATTATTTATCACTACAACAGAACATGGATTATACCACTTAACATAAGTTTATTTTTTTGTTATCTCTATATCAAAACATAGTCTATATCATTTAACGTAAGTTATTATTTATCACTATAACAAAACATCACTTGACATAAGTTTATTTTCTTATTCCCATAGAAAAACATGGTTTATATCACTTGACATAAATTTATTTACAGCAAAACATAGTTTATATCACTTAACATAATTTTATCATTTATCTCTAGAGTAAACATATTTTATGTCACTTAACATAAGTATATTATTTATCTCTAGAATAAAACATTGTTTATATCATAAATTATGGATGTATATTATTTATCAATATATCAAAACATGGTTTATATCACTGAACATAAGTTTATTATTTATCACTTATACAAAACTAATTTTATGTCACTTAACATAAGTATATTATTTATCTCTAGAGCAAAACATTGTTAATATCATAATTTATGGACGTTTATTATTTATCACTATATCAGTACAACTAAACATTGTTTAATGTTAGACGATTTCCTAATTTTGCTCATTCTTGTCTGAGTTTAACAGGACTGAAATACTTACTTAATTATATTCTAATTATGTCTGGAAAAAGTTAAAAATAGATTTAAAAAAAACTTCCAGTTTAAGTTTCAATACATGATTGTCTAAAAAGAAAATAAAAGATAAAAGTTAAATTACATGAAGTTCTTTATACATCACAATATTGCCCTCCAATGA